GATGATGATGATGATGATGATGATGAGGGTGGTGATGATGATGATGGTGATGCTCACGATGACGATGGCGACGACGAGGATGATGATGTGATGGTGATGCTGCTGACGCTGATGGTGATAATGATGGTGATAATGATGATGATGATGATGATGATGATGATGATGATGATGATGATGCTGTTGCTGCTTATGATGATGATGGTGATGACGATGATGACGACGATGATGATGATGATAATGCTGGTGATGATCATGATGCTGATGGTGGTCATACAGATGGATACGATGATGCGGTGATGACGATGACGATCGGATGAGGAGGAGGAGGAGTATGAGGAGGAGCAGAAGGCTGATGATGATGATGCCGATGATGATACTGATGATGATGCCGATTATGATGATGATGATGATGATGATGATGATGATGATGATGATGATGATGATGATGATGATGATGATGATGATGACGTGGATGTGGATGCTGATGCTGATGCTAATGTTGATGATGCTGGTTCGCTGATGCCGATGATGATGTTGATGCTGGTCACGACGACGACGACAACGAGATTGATAATGACGGCGATGACGATGACGATGACGATGATGACGAGAACGACGACGCCGACGATTACGACGATGCTGATGATGATGATGGTGGCCATGATGATGATGATATGGATGATAGTGTGATGGCGATGATGATCGGAGGAAGATGGTGGTTGCGGTGATGATGGTGGTGGTGGCGGTGATGATGCTGATGAAGATGTCGATGATGATGATGATGCTGATGATGATGATGATGATTTGGTTGTGGTGATTCTGGTGATGATGGTGATAATGATTATGATGGTGATGACGGTGACGACGACGATGATGATGATGATGATGATGATGATGAAGAGTATGATGGTCATGGTGGTGATGATGATGATGTGTTGATGACGATGATCGGAGGAGGAATATGTTGGATGTGGTGATGGTGGTGGTGAGGCGGTGACGGTGATGCTGATGGTGATGACGATGATGACGGTGATGATGATGATGCTGATGATAAGGATGATGACCTTGATTACCATCATGGTGATGATGACGATGATGGTCATGATGATGCAGATGATGATTCCGATGATGATGATGATGAGGAGGAGGATGATGATGAGGTGGTGGCGGTGATGCTGACGATGATGATGGTGATGATGATGACGATGATGATGATGATGACGACCATGATGACCATAATGGTGATGATGATGCTGATTCCGATTTTGATGTTGATGGTGATGAGGTGGTGACGGTGATGCTGCTGATGATGAGGATGCTGATGATTATCGGAGGACCAGGAGGAGGAACAGGAGGAAGGTGGTGGTGGTGGTGGTGATGATGGTGGCAGCGGCTGATGTGAAGCCGATGATGATATGTTGATGAGGGTTGTGATGATGGCGTTGTTGTTTGTGATGATGATGGTTATGATGCTGATGCTGATGATGAGGAGGAGGAGGAAGACGAGGAGGAAGAGGAGGAGGAAAAGGAGAACGGTTGCTTTCGAACCTAACTGCGAAACAGACAGTGACAGCGACAGGATGATGAGGAGGAGGAAGCAGAAACAGGAGCAGGAGGGTCAGCGGAGCGCTGAGGAGGGAAAGAGGGGTTCGGCAACGGCAGGCGACGAATTCGATACAGAATGGTGGCCTGAGCTTGAGCGAGGGCGCCATTATGAACGGTCGGAGCATAGGAGCGATCCTGTGGTGGCCATCGCTTCTGCAAGGGCATTAGTTTTGGAGGGTCGAGAACGTTTCGATCGGTAAGAACATCGAAACTCGAATTGTTGAAGTTCTTGTGCGCGGACACCGAGAAGCCGAGAGAGGCGAGAGCACCGTTGGCACATTGATGGGGAGGGCGGAGCGTAGTTTCCATTTGTGCGTGTGGGGGGGGGAGGGGGGGGCTGGGGCGGAGGCAAGAGTAGGGGGAGGGAGGAAGGGGAGGAAGGCAGTGAAGGGAGGGAGGAGGGAGGCATGGGAGCGAGGGGAGGGACGTCGGGAAGGGGAAGCGGCGCGCGGCCCATGACCCAAAGGCGGCATCACATCTCAGGGCTGGCGCCCCAACCCCAGTGAAGAACAGCAGAGCGCCCCCTTCCGAGCCTGCGTCGTTGCTCCGGTGTCCATCGCCCGCCTTCCGCCCTCCCGCCAAACATCACCCACTGGCCTGGCCGCAGGCCCACCCGCCTTGGCCCAGCAGCTGCCTGGGCGCAGGGGCACCCGAAGGGCGGCTCCCGCAGCCTCCCCCTCCCTCCAGACCGCGGAGCTTGGCTCGTGGACGCGACGTTGACTCGGCGTGGCGCTCTCACTCTCGGCAGCGATGCCGGGGCTCTGCTGCGCATGCCATCCCGAGCGGCGAGACCGCGTCCGCCTCTTGCCCCGCTGCCCTGCCGCAGGCCCGCCAGGCGAGGCTCTGGGCCCTTTGCGCGCGCGCGCAGGCGCCGGCGCGCGCCTGCGCCAGCCCCCCGGGCGTTCGGGAGCCATGGCGCCGAAGGCAAAGCCGAAGGCGCGGCTAGCTTGTTCGCACTCCGCCCTCCACCGCTTGCTCAGCCCCCACGATATCCCCCCCCGTCTTTCTGTCTCTCTCTCTCTCTCTTTCTCTCTCTCTTTCTCTCTTTCTCTTTTGTATCCTGCATCAATGTATGCATAGATGTGTATTCGAACGCACACGTCTGTTTACATCCATACGTATGTATGTATGTATGTGTATATATGTATATATCCATACGCTTGGATATATTGTATACGTAATTATATATATATATATATATATATATATTCATGTTTGTAAATATTTTTATATGTATAGACACAATATGTATATATATATACATATATACGCATTTCTCATGTACCAGAAATCTGGCCCCAAGGGCCCG